ATATATATATATATATATATAGTATAGATAGATAACAATCTAAAATGGAAAAAAAAATAAGATACTAAAAAACATCATTACGTGTTTATTATATTTAATAATATTATAATATTCGATATTTGGTTCATTTTAAAGGTATTGAAGAGATAATTATAATGATATAATTTATAAAAAAATAATGATATGGGATGTGGAGATTTAAAGTTATGAGTTCTATAACTTTAAATTTGTAAATTAAGGGTGTAAAATATAAATGAAAAATAAAGAATATAAAACAAATTAAATATGATAACTATACTGTATACAATGAAAGTTTAAAAAATAATTCACTATGTATTTATGTTATTTAATAATATGAGATTAAATCAAAAAATATTAAATATTAGACTCATTCTGAAGGCATTGATGAGATGATTATGATGATATAAATTGTAAAAAATGAAACGTATTTTTTAATATATTTTAGTTAATATACAATTATGTATGATAATGGTGTAAAATAAAAAATGAAAAAGAAAAATATATAAAATAAATTAAATAACTAATTATAAGGGTGCAAAATGTAACTTAAAAATTAAAAGTAATTTGATTTTAATATTATGTTTGAAACGTGGAAGTTTCATGAGAGGTGTTTAGTTTTAAAACTTGTACACGATGCACAGGTAGTTGTACCTCTTAATTTTCAATACAAATCCGTTTAACATGCTTATACATATAGTATAGACATATAGCCAGGTTATTATAAACTCTTTGGAATACTACAACCCTTACAACCAAATCAGGAGCATCCATCTGATCATCAACAATTATCATTTAATCGGTTGTAACTACCTTTAATTAAAAACACCAGAAAAGAAAAAGAAAAAAGAAAATGGATAGTGGATGAGTGGGTTGCAACAATTGTAAAATCTAGAGGGGTTGTATTTGAACGACCCTATATATAGGGCTGGGTTCACGTGAGACCAAATGTTTTTTTGTGAGACCCGTAAGACCAATTTATGTTCATTGATCAATTTTATAATCTAATGATCTAATGTTCTAAAGTTACAAGGTGACAATTTTGTAATTATTGAGAAATCTCGTTGCGTTTATGAATGTTCAAATCTGAAGATTGTAAATCTAATCTAAGGGTTGATAATTGGTCTTACGGGTCTCACGAAAAACTTTTGGTCTCATATGATCCCAAGTATATATATATATATATATATATATATATATATATATATATATATATATATATATATATATATATATATATAGGGGCCCATTCAAGAGAGAACTGATTAATTTGTGGTAACTGTGAGATCCAATCTCAACCACAAATCAATGGATAAATTAGAAAATTAATAATTATGATAGTTTGAGTTAAAATTATAATTAGAAGGCATTTTAGGTATTTTTTAAAAAACTCATCTCTTCTCTCTCCTCTCTCATCTCTCCGACCTCCAATCTTCGGCCTCCGGTGAACAAAAATCYGGYAGGTACCAAGTAATCACAAAGATACACAATGTGATACCCATTGTGATATACTGTGATACCCATTGTGATATACTGTGATACCATTTGAGTACCACTGCATATCACAATGTGTATCTTTGTAATTACTTGGTACCTGCCGGATTTTTGTTCACCGGAGACCGGAGATTGGAGGTCGGAGAGATGAGAGAGGAGAGAGAAGAGAGAAGAGATGAGTTTTTAAAAAATACCTAAAATGCCCTCTAATTATAAGTTTAACTCAAACTATCATAATTATTAATTTTCTAATTTATCCGTTGATTTATGGTTGAGATTGGATCTCACAGTTACCACAAACTAATCAGTTCTCATTTGATTAAGCTCCTATATATATATAATAGTTCAAATGTTGACCCAAATTATAGTGTTAATTTTATGAAGTTTTTCAACCAATCACAATCCATCTTAGTATTAGTATCTACTCTATCTAAGAATTTAATGTTAAGGGTATATGGGTAATTTTTTATAACTCCTATATCATTAATTCGAAATTATAAGATCCATAAAATCCCATGATTTTTGCATTTTTAATATTGATCTTGAGTTTTTTTTTTTTTAAAATTGATCTTCCATTTTTAATATATATAAATTTGTAATTGGTGGAGGAGACCCGCTAGTAAAGTGTTTGTTATCGTTCAAACATTTATGGATAAAGACATTGGAAAACAACACAACAACATTGAGAATGTTAAAATTGTTTATGGTGACAGTCAGAATTCAAGATCGGGAAATGAAGTAAATAATCAAAACAAGTGTCTTGGTAATTATGAACACAAATTGACATATATGACATAAATTGACATGCATACACCCATATGAACACAAATTGATATATATGAACACTTGTGACAATTATGAACACAAATTGAACATATATGTGAACACTTGTATCAACTATGAACACAAATTGAACATACATGAACAACTGTGGTAATTATGAACACAAATTGAACATATATGAACACTTGTGACAATTATGAACACAATTGAACATATACGATTTCTATTGTTTGTAACCGTTGATATTGATTGCACATCCTCTTTTACATAAACACCCTTAAGCTATTATGTTCACATATGTTTGTGAGATTACAAGGGTAATAAATTAAATTTTATAATATGATTATTCTCAACCCTATATTTTAAAACTCAATGACCATGATTAATTCATAAAGTTAACATAATAATTTGAGTTAACAAATGAATTTAAGTTAACATTTGAACTAAACCCTCTCTCACAAACACACACACACACACACACACACACACACATATATATATATATATATATATATATAGGGTTGAGTTCACGTGAGACCAAAAGTTTTTCGTGAGACCCGTAAGACCAATTTATGTTCATTGATCAAATTTATGAATTAATGATCTAATGGTTGCAAAGTTGCAAGGTGGCAATTTCGTAATTAGTGAGAAGTCTCGTGGCGTTTATAAATGTTCAGATCTGACGATTGTAAATCTAATCCAAGGGTTGAGAATTGGTCTTACGGGTCTCACGAAAAACCATTGGTCTCACGTGAACTCAACCCTATATATATATATATATATATATATATATATATATATATAGGGTTGGGTTCACGTGAGACTAGTCTGTTTTCGTGAGACCCGTGAGACTAGCTTTTTACACTTAAAACTTCACAGCAAAAACACTGTGAAAGTTACCTTCACAACATTTTACTGTGAAGTTTCAAGTGTAAAAAAATGGTCTCACGGGTCTCACGAAAATAGGTTGCTCTCACATGATCCCAATTCTCTCTCTCTCTATATATATATGTTATTAAAGAATTATTAGTATTTGCATAGAATCTTACACCAATTTTATAT